TGCAGTAATCATGCAGGCAAATAAACTTAAGGGAACTAATGTGTTTATTAACGAACATTTGACAAAAAGAAATGGTATCATTGCACGCGAAGCAAGGTTGTTACGGAAAAGAAAAAAGATAGCCTCAACGTGGACAAGAAATGGAAAGATATGGATTAGAGTACAGGAAGGGTTGCAAGCGAAAATAATACAAGATGTGAAGGAATTGGAAAAAATTGGATAAGCATATAAGATAAGATATATTAGAAAACTATGCCCGATGATTCACATATAAGAATGACTAAGTAAAATGGTTTAACGAAAGACAATAGCTTACTCATGACGAATGAGGATTTGGAATTTAAAATATATAATGTTGATGAAGAACTAGATAGAAATCTTTTTCCAGCTAAAAAAGACAGTAAATACTACAATGAAGAACAGTTTAAGGAAGTTAACATGACAAATGATGATCTTTCTATAATTCATTTGAACTGTAGAAGTATAAATGCAAATATATCTTACATGCTAGAAAATCTCCAAAACATAAAAAAACTTATACAATAATAGCACTATCAGAAACATGGCTTAATGATGAAAATATAAAAAACATCCACATTGAAGGATATGATTTCCATTATATAAACAGAAAAAATAAAAGAGGTGGAGGAGTAGCTATATTTATAAAAAAGGAAATAAAATGTAAGTTAATTAAAGAAATGTCTATGGTTGTTGATAATATGATGGAAATGATTACAGTGGAAATAATAAACAAATATGGAAAAAATATTATAATAAGTTGTGTGTATCGATCGACAAGTTCAAAGATAGAGACATTTAAAGATAAAATATTAGAATTATTGGTTAAGAGTGGAAATGAAGTTTTTTTATGTGGTGATTTCAATATTGATTTGGGCAACATGACAGACTCGAATAATACCAGTATATTTATGAACTTGATGAATAGTTTAAATTTATACCCGTTGATATTAAGGCCGACAAGAATAACAACTCACAGTGCTACGTTAATCGATAATATATTCACAAACATAGAAGATGATGATGTGATAGGTGGAATATTGATGATGGATATCAGTGATCATTTACCAATTTTTTCAATTTATAAATGTGATGATAATAAACCAAAAAAAAAATAAAAAGAATAAATACAAAAATAAACACATCAAAACAAGCATTGGATAAATTTAAAGAAGATTTAAATATACAAAAATGGGATGAAGTATATGTGGATGATGTAAACAAATATTATGATGAATTTATGAGGATCCTTGAAGTTTTGTTAAAAAATAAAAGTGTAAAAAATCTACTTAAAAGATAAGAAAGTCGATCATCCTTGGATGACTAAAGGATTGAAGAATGCATGTAAAAAAAAAGAATAAACTTTATTCATGGTTTATGAAATCTAGAACATTAAATGCTGAAAAAAATACAAAAAGTATAAAAATAAATTGGTAGGGATAATAAGAAAACATAAAAGGGAATATTATAGTCAATTATTACATAAATGCAGTGGTGATATGAGAGCGACATGGCGAGTAATTAACAATGTTTTAAGTAAACAAAATGGTAATAGGGGATTGTCACAACATTTTGTTGAAAACAATGTGGAAATTTATGATGATACAGAGATTGTAAATGGATTTAATAATTATTTTGCAAATGTGGGATTAAGTTTTGCAACGTCAATACCTAAAGTAGATGGTAATGTGAATTATTTGATCAATGGATGTGCAAACAGTATGTTTCTTAATGGTACTAGTAAGGAAGAAATAATGAAGGTAGTTGGACAATTTGCTGATAAAAGATCCAATGACTGTGAAGGAAATAATAAGTAATGTGTTGGAACCATTTACATATATCTGTAATTTATTATTTTCTAAAGGCATTTTCCCAGAAAGAATGAAAATCGCAAAGGTGATTCCAATTTTTAAAAATAGTGAGAAAAGTTTGTGTTAGGAGTGCGCGGGGAACCCAGATGGTATGAGACCCAGAACGAGGCAGACACAGGGGAAGTACAAAAGAGCAGTGTTTATTATGTACAGTGATAATCAAATCCACACGCTGCTTCTCAGCGGCTCCTGGAAAGAGGGACGACAGGTTAATGTTGGTCCAGATGAGATGACCAGAGTGGTTTGTTTGAAGAGCGTTTTTGTCCTTACAGTCAAAACCCGAAGGAGGAGAGCTGGTCCTTCAGTCCAGGGAGAGAGCAGCAGAGGGGAATCCAACAAGGGTCCAAGGGAACGAGGAAGGCTGGCAACTGGAGGTAAAAATGGC